TGCTCTGCCAAATGGTGTGGGAACGGTGGCTGGAGAGCATCCATATGGGGAACATCCATCAAGGACACTGTTTGTAAGGAATATCAATAGTAATGTCGAGGATGCTGAGTTAAAAACCCTCTTTGAGGTAATATTAATTGACAAGTTGCTTCCTTAAATTTCTGAGATAATTTACGTTGGTGAGTTACTTCCTTAGATTTGCAGAGTTAACATCTTCCATGAGTTTACTTTCTTAGATTTGTGTTTTATGCTCCACTTCTCCTTCTGTCTGTTTCTTTTATTTGATATCCTGGAAGATTGTGCAAGTTTCCATTAATTATATCTTAGCATACTTAAGTAAATTAAACCAATTAAAGTGACCAGCCAGCTATAAAAGAGGTTTGTTCATGTGGTTTTGAGTTAGTTGGATTTATATGAGCCTTAATGGTTTTGGGTACCGAGGAATATTTTTCTTCCTGCTAAGGGTATGAACTCTGAGTGTAGTTTTTTAAAACTTAAATTATCAGCGTTTAGACCAGTTCTCTCGTGTTTTTTTTTTTAATTAGTATTATTTGTAATAAGTTCTTAGTCAACTTTTCAATTTCCATGTGTAACAATGGCAGGACTCCTGAAGAGCCTCCTTTCAATTTTATGTTTTTTGTTCACATGCATTTGGCAGGCTTTTGATTTTAAAATATTGAATCCTGGGTAGCTCAGGTAAGTGGAACTAAGACTTATATTGTCCTGATGGAGAACTAGTTTAATTGTTGTTATAGATTTCGTGGTGCCCATTCCAGTAAATAAAGCATATAGATGAGAATACTTTCTGTCATATTTGCTGCATTGTGCTTCATTTTATTCATTAGGGTTATGAAAAAGTTTTATTTATTTTACTTGCAATGCTGGTTTATTAACTAACTGCTTCCATCTCTGTAGCAATATGGAGACATCAGAACTTTATACACTGCATGCAAGCATAGGGGTTTTGTGATGATATCTTACTATGACATTCGAGCGGCTCGTACTGCAATGCGTGCATTGCAAAATAAGCCTTTGAGACGACGGAAACTTGACATTCATTTTTCGATACCAAAGGTTCGAACTGAGATGGCCATTCTTGTCATGCATTTTGTCTCTCTTGGTTCTAACTTCTAGTTCTATCGGTAAATTGGTGCATGCCAAGATCATTAATTGTTTCATCCTGGCCCTTGGCTATATTCCAGGATAATCCTTCAGAAAAGGATATTAACCAGGGAACTCTGGTCGTATTCAATCTGGATGCCTCTGTGTCCAACGATGACCTTCGTCGAATATTTGGGGCATATGGAGAAGTGAAAGAGGTATTCTCTAAATTTCTATTATATGCACTCCTTAAAATGGCACGCTTATGCAGAAATGCCTGATGTTATAAATTTGATTTGTAAATATCACTTAATGATTCATGTGGAATCCTAATACAGACATTCTGCAATTAAGTTTCTAAAATATTCCTTTCTGAAACTGCAGATTAGGGAGACACCACACAAGCGGCATCATAAGTTCATAGAATTTTATGACGTTAGAGCAGCAGAAGCTGCCCTTAGGGCATTAAATAGGAGTGATATAGCAGGAAAGCGAATAAAGCTTGAACCAAGTCGTCCTGGAGGGGCACGTCGGAAGTAAGCTCCTTATGCCAACCACTTTTGTGCACCACATATCTGAGCAAGATTTTTGATAGGCTTACACAAGATAATAAGTATATGATGATCTTTTACATCATTTTCATTTATTAATTTAATAGTTTTTATATCATTTGGCATCTGCTTCTGTTTTATGGTTTGAAACTGACAATGTAATGCGTGCTTCAGTGTCATCTTTACTTAGAAACTGACATGTCCTTGTCATTCATATAGTTTAATGCAACAACTAAGTCAAGAGCTGGAACAAGAAGATGGCCGAACTTTTCGCCATCAGGTTGGTTCACCAGTGACCAATTCACCTCCAGGTGATCATCTCGTACAGCTTTTCTTGAATCCTAAAAATATTTATGCTTGCATTCAACATCTCACCCCCTGGACAGAAAGTTCTTTTCTTCATTATCTATTTTGAACAGTCATTAACATTAGAGACACTACTATGGCAGGTAACTGGTCACATATTGGCAGCCCTGTGGAACATAATTCTTTACCTGCTTTTAGCAAGTCGCCTGGTCTGGGAAGTCTGAGTCCCATAAACAGCAGTCATTTGTCTGGCTTGGCTTCAATTCTTCCACCTAATGTTTCTAACTCTCCAAGAATAGCACCAATTGGGAAGGACCAAGGAAGGGTTAATCATGTGAACCAAGTATTTACCAACTCCACATTGATGCAAGGAACAGTCTACCATCATCATCAATCCTTTCCTGACAACAAATTTAGCTCGAATCCTGGATCTACATCTTCTCTTGCTGACTTGAATTCCAATTCATCGAGTGTTGGGACATTATCTGGTCCTCAGTTCCTATGGGGAAGCCCAACTCCCTATGCGGAACGTTCCAATTCTTCTGCCTGGCCAACATCATCAGTAGGGCAGCCATTTACTTCCAATGGGCAGGGACAAGGTTTTCCATATGTTAGACACCATGGTTCTTTGCTTGGTTCACGTCACCATCATGTGGGATCTGCTCCATCTGGTGTCCCTCTTGATAGGCCTTTTGGTTATTTCCCAGAGTCACCAGAAACGTCCTTCATGAGTCCAGGTGCTCTAGGGAGCACAAGTTTAAGTCGCCACAATGGTAATTTTATGAACTTGGGTACTCGAGCAACTATGAGTGGTGGCCTTGGTCTTCCGACAAATATGGTTGAGAATGGCTCTCCCAATTTTAGAATGATGTCTTTGCCCAGGCAAGGTGGCCCCGTTTTCTACGGAAATGGCTCTTTTCCTGGGTCTGGTGTTGTGAGCACTGATGGATTGCTGGAACGTGGCCGTAGTAGGCGTGTTGAAAATGTTGGGAACCAAATTGAGAGCAAGAAGCAGTATCAGCTTGATTTGGACAAAATTGTTAGTGGGGAAGATACTAGGACCACACTGATGATTAAAAACATTCCCAATAAGTAAGAACTTATTTGGTTTACTATTAGAGGACTAAGACTACCACTTTAAGTTTTACCTCGATTATATTCTGTCTTTTCTTAAATGTATATTTGTTGCTATTTGCTATAGGTACACTTCAAAGATGCTTTTGGCTGCTATTGATGAAAATCACCGTGGTGCTTATGATTTTCTATACTTGCCAATTGATTTCAAGGTAGTGTTTGTTTTCAAGAATATCCTGCATGATCAAAAATTCTATGTTTCGACTTCCAATTATGGTTTTAAATTCTTTGTTTCAGAATAAGTGCAATGTCGGTTATGCCTTCATCAATATGGTGTCTCCATCTCAAATCATTCCTTTCTATGAGGTATGTTTTTCTTTGTCTGCTAAATATTCCTGATTGTTTTACAAGCAATGCATTAATTCTCTTTGGATCTTGTGTATAAGATTGAATGTATCTGATATGTCTCATTTCTTATTATCTGATTGTGGTTTTACTACTTCTATATATCTTATTGTCAAAATGTGATTCCCAAATCTTAAAAATCATAAGAATCCTTGTCTATAGACTTCCTGCTTATAATGGAGACTTTTGCCAGGCATTCAATGGTAAAAAGTGGGAAAAGTTCAATAGTGAAAAGGTTGCTTCACTAGCTTATGCTCGAATTCAGGGCAAGACTGCTCTAGTAACTCATTTTCAGAATTCGAGCTTGATGAATGAAGATAAGCGATGTCGGCCAATTCTCTTTCGTTCTGAAGGCCAAGAGATTGGCGATCAGGTAAAATATATTTTGTCAATCCTATTCATTGTTGTTCAACACGTGCAGTACTTATTCTTAATATTTTTCTTTACAAGCCATATTCGTTGCACGAAAAAATGCGAGTTTTGATACAACTTGCTGGATCATGCTAACTGATAGTTTGTCTCTAGAGCGGTTCCCTATCATTTGCTGACCAATTCAATTTGTTTATGGAAAATCCAGGATATTCTCCTCTCCAGCAACTTGAACATATGCATTCGTCAGCCAGATGGATCATACTCAGGGGACTCATTGGACAGCCCAAAGGGGCACCCAGAGGAAAAAGCAGAAAGTTAACTTATGTTGGTACATTTTCTAAGCCTCAAGATTGGAAAGGCTGGGAAAACTAACTGTTGGATAGGGTATTAATATGGTAAAACTAAGGACTGAGGGAGTATTTGTGATTGATGAATACTTTACTTGATCATTATTTTTCATGAAGGGGTATTGCAGACAAGGAGCCAGAGAGCATTTTTGTTCTAGGTAGAGGAACATATTGTAATTTAACCCAATGGTAAATAAGGAGAATCATATGGCCACCGGCCGAAGCCTCTCTGCGGAATCCTCGGGCAAAGCTTCCAGCTTGTTTGTGATCATCTCTTCTGTGGAGTCTATTAGAGATTGCATTTTGTCTTCTGTTTATGGGGGCTGTCAAAGTCCAATTGCAAATATGAGTTCTTCCTGTTGATATGGGTAAATTCTGTGGGTTATAGGGTCTAGGTTCTGTTCAAGAAGTGTACAGATGGGAGACCACCAGGATGTTCTTCCTATGTTAAGTTGTTGATATCATGTAGTCAACGTTATTTGTGTTGCCTGAAATTAGTTATGTTGTATATTCATTTTCTTCTCTCTCTCGGATTCTTGAATAATCAGAATTGTACTCAACTTGCACATTTGAAAGAAGCCTCTCTCTCTCTCTCTCTCTCTCTCTCTCTCTCTCTCTCTCAGATTGTAACTTCTCTCTGTTAGCTGCAAAGTAGAATAACTTAAAAGAACATTGCAAGAGAGCATTGCATCTGTTCTGACAATTTGGGTTCAGTGGATTATTGTAAAACATTTCCTAGTATTTGATTCGCCTGTGCTTTTTGCAGATATGATACTAAATCTCTCTGTTTTACAAAGAAGAAATAAAGGTAGAGGAAAATTGGGAGATGAGGAATATTTTGACGGACAGGAAATGATAAGATCAGTACTGTTAAACCATCAATATCACCGAAAAGGATATCATCCAGCATTCACTCATAATATATCAGAATCAGTACGGTGTGGGGGACACCTCTTCTTTTTCCTTGTGGATTTATTAATTTAATGATATGCTTCAGATTCGCATAATTGAAGTCCCATCGAGAACCTATCTATTCAAATCTTCAAAGCATCAGCAATGGAACCTGCTAGACTCAAAACTTCAAAAGGGGCTTTATTTGCTATGGCTTTGACTGTATGGGGGCAGGAATCTGTGATCCAAAAGTAGGAAAACGCCGTCTCCATACCTTTAAACAGAATGCCAAAATAAAAATTACCAAACTTGAAAGTCCGAAAGATTAAGAATCTGTATAAAAACTTCAAGAACTCACCATTCTTGTGAAGGAACCGCTCCCACGATTGCTTTGGGAAGACACCATGAGTAACATAGGCACTAACATTGGCCGCACCGTGAGCTGCTAAAACTTTCTAATAGAATCATGAGCAGAAAAGTATTAGATGGCACTCAAGATTTACTACAAGAATATGATTGGTGACGGGTTTTTCAGCTTGAAACCGGACCACTACTTATCTAGACATGACCAAAGTAGAAAAGGGGCATGGTTCCTAGAATTGTGTGCAGTAATGATACTATGGCTTAAAAAAATCTTCATCCACGGCGTCCAGTTAATAGGAACTTTCCTTTACAGCTCCTTTTAAGAGCTTTTGATTTTTTTTTTAACTAATGGAAAAACTATAATGAGAATCTTCTCAATAGTGGAGGGAAATTTATGGCATTTGATAATGTATGCAGTTAGAATTTTCTCATGAGAATCTTGTCAATTCCGATGATTTACAACTACCATAAGCTTGTAGTCTACTCAACTGCCATATGGTGTGAGACGATTTAGGTTGAAACTTCTATGAGACAATTATTATGCACAGCAGTTTTTGTACTAAGCCATATAAGATATAGAGATGGAGCGTTGAGTTTAAATGATGTAGGGAGGAGTAGGACACACAGGAATACCTGGCATTCAATCAAGGTTCCTCCAGATTGTACCAAATCGTCAACAATAACAACATGACGACCAGCAGGACTTCCTTCCTTGATCCGAACTATCCTTTTGTCGTCTTCACGAACTTTTGTGCAGATGACCTGCCATTTTGTTGTCATTGGATTTTAGATGTTGAGAGAAACGTACTCAAACAATAGACAACATTTTTTAGATAAATTCCAACTAACCACAGGAAAATGATCGAGTTGCTTGTGGAAACGCTTCCAAGCTCCATCATCTGGAAATGCTATGACTACCTGCAAGATAGCAAGATGGAATCATGACGTAAAAAAGAACACGATGGGTTGGGAAGAATGTTTCTTTTCTGTATTGTACTCCATACTCACATTGTCAGCATCAGGAAGTTGGTGCAGACGTTGCTTTAGGAGTGGAATTCCAGTTTCGAACAAAGGCAAAACATTATCCCCAAAGTAGAACCTTTCCTGCACGGAAAGGAAAATTAATATAAAAGATGATATTGATCCAATGTTACCTCATTGGCATGAGAGAAAGAGAGATAGAAAGCAACTGCTAAAAAAGTTATTTAATAAAAAGGTCCAAAAAATGAAAAAGTTTTGATAAGATGTAAGCAAATTTGGTATAGCAAGCTACGGTAATGAGAAATCAGTAACTGATAATACACCAACTATGGCTTCATCATCTACAATGGAAGGCCCAATTTTAGAAAATAAATTCAATCAATAAAAACAAACCTGCAAGGCATGTATATCATAGATCACTACACTTGTTGGGCCACCTCTCGAAATAGGAATATTTGATAAGATCCTGGCCATGGTAAATGCTGTTGCAACATCCCCTTCTTCTTCCATCCGCTCAAAGGAGCCAGTAGGAAAGAAGGGCAGTACCAACGTGAAGGAAGCAGCAAAAAGCCTTGGGAGATTGTATATGACTGATATCTGTTCAAAGATAGCTCCTGGGTGGCTGAAGGATGCAAGGAATGCTACATGATTCCCACGTAGATCTTGAGCATTGTTTATGTAAATATTTGGAAAACCATCATCAAATGTCCTGTACATAGTTTGAATATAATTAGATTATAGAACCAAATGAAAGACTATCTCGAGCAATTTACAAGTACCAGAATGCATATTGACAAAATGGCCTAGAAAACAAATTCTTAGAAATACCATAAGGCAGAACAAAGAGAACCCAAATATAGGACATGAATATGACAGGATACAGACACAGAGTAGTGAAAAATGCCATCTTCCACAAAATTAGGACATGCCGACATGGCTAGGGCAATGACACGTTGGTTAAAATGATACAAGTATATATGAGTAGGTAGGTAGAAAATGTAGATTCACTCTCTTGCCTGCCTTTATCAATCTAGTCATCAATCTTATAGATTGATAGGTGGTAGATAATTGGATAATGAATCATTTAATCTCTTGTCAGCTTGTAAGCCTTAGTCTTTCATGGGTTTATAGACATATATACAAGTTGGTAATGTAATTTCACTCTCTTGCGAGTTCAAGTTTCTTTTTGGGTTCTAAAATCTTCCATGGCATCATCAATTCCTTTTTCCCATTTTCTTCACTAAACTTGTTTCATATGTACCTAAAACATGTAACATGTCTGTCTAAACAAGAATGCCTGGAAATACAAGTCAGACACGGAAACTGACATTCTACTGAAAATAGTCCTGTGCCTCCTAGAACAGGAACAGAGAAGTTCCAAAGGAAATGGCAACAGGCTCCTCTAAGTTAGCTAACTATTTGTACTGAAGGTTGGAAGTTCCAAAACAGGCTACCAGAAGGTAATCATAACAAATGAGAGGTTAAATGATGAACTAAAACCCAAATTCAGTTCAACATTTTGCCAAGATTGGCTGGAAAAAAGGACCTCAAGAGAACAAATGGAGTGTCCAATGAGAATAATAAGTAGAACAAAAGAAACTAAAAGAAATTAACAAAAGTGATTACATATTCTCTCTTTCTACTTCTCTCACGATTGCAGAACTAAATCTAAAAAAAAGGCACGTCATTACAAATAAAATATATTGATTTGGCTACATGCATGTTCTGTTGTGGTAGAGTGTTTGACTTTCAAGGGTTGTTTTGTTTGGCTACGTGCTCTATTAACGGAGTGTTGGTAAACAAGTTCGTAATTTTTTAAATAATTTCAATTGTAGACAGGTATTCGCGAGAACAACTAATAAAAAAATAACTTGAAAAGAAAGTTAAGCAAATATATTCTAACTATATTTTTATTATAGAAAATAGAAAAGCTGCAAGAACAATCTACATCTTTGAATTTTGAGTTCTAAAGATTTATCACACAACAAAGGATAAAAAAACAGAAGAGAAACAACCTAATGGCGGGGGTCGAGATCACTTGTAGGCTATAAATTATAATCACACAACGAAGGCTCAGCACGGGTTATTTGTTCTGGGAAATATATGTGTTTCTTTAAGGCCTTTTAATCATTTTGTTGGACGACAATCAACTATTAGATAATGAAAGTTGTCATTCTTTATTTTTCTTTTGTTTTGGGTGCTTCTTGGCTCCTTTTAGCTGGGGCTTTCCTGTATTCTTTTATTTGTTCAGTTATCTTTTTCATCAAACAAAATTATAAGGTAATGAACATCATTTCAAGCACAAAATGATCGTTACTTTTACAAGTTAATCATAAATTATTTTGACAAAACAAAAAAAAAATATATTGTTAAAGAACTGCTAAACAAGAACAACGCCTAAAACCAGTTAACCCAAAAAAAAATAAAACTGAAGCGTAGACATATATATATATATAAAGAAAAAAAGAAAAAAAGGCTTATGGAGTTGAAAACAAACAGAGGAGAGGGGTGTGGGTAAAGAAAGGGCAGGACCTCCATTTGATGGTTTGCAGGGTGATGGAATCGGAAAGAGCAGCAACTTTGCAGGCAAGTTCTTCGCATTCCGCACAGTAGAAGAGGAAGACGTGCTTCTTCGGCGGCTTTGCCAATGCCATTGATACCCTCACCTCAAGCTCCGGCTCCAAGCTTTCACTCAAACCAGAGAGAGGAGAGAGAGTGATAGTGGAGAATGAAATTCGGGCACCGTAATTAAATAAGGAGAACTTGTCCTCAACACATTTTGACTCCTTTTTCTGAAAAATAATATTTGTACAAACAAAACAAAATTATATGCCCTTGGTGTTTCAGTTTTTTTTTTCTCAATTTTGTTTTAGGAGGTAAAATATATTTTTTAATACAAGGTGTATGGGTGGTGGATTGAATTTACACCATTTTAATTAGAAACATATATTGATCGTTACTTCTTACTTTGACATATTTTTCTTCTAAGTACAACTGTATATTTGGTTAGTATTCAAACTTACAATCTTTTAATGTAAGGAATTTAAAATTTTTTATTTTCTTTACTTAAATTTCTAACCCACTAAACATCATTTCATATTAACTGATTAATGACTACTTCGATAGTAAATACATAAATAAAATTTTTTAAAATATGAAAAATTGAATTGAGTTTTTTTGTTTATTTACTAATTGAGTCAACAATTGTGAGTAAATTAAAAAACCAACACTAAAGATCGAAATAATTCGCTACTCCTTCTAACGTTGAAAGTTCAAAATTGTACTAAAAAAATATTACTAATAATTCGTTTAAGAAAGGTAATATTTTGTGGGAAAAAGTTAAGAGGAATTATGTGGATATTGAATTCCAAGTTGGACGCACCGTATCCAGGATTTGGAAAGCGACAATGCGCGTTACCAAACAAGGCGAGGCGAACGTTTTTTCCGGGCATTGAACGAATTGTAAGAAGTAATATAGAATTTATGGGTGTGGGACCCAAATCGTTCCCTTTTGGCTTTTGGAACAACGCATTTCTCGCTGAGAAAAAAAGGCATTTTTCTTGCTCCCTTCGCTTCACTTCGCCCTATCATCTCTCATCTCTTTTATCTCGCTACTTTGTTTAAACAATAATAATAATTTACCGCCGGCGCCGTCCGCCGTCGACGTGGAATTTAGGAATCCAGCCCAGTCCAACCGAATTTTGAATTTTGAATGGAATTGGATATGGAAGGAAGACTGGCATCGCATGGCAATAACATTCCCTTTCCATTTCCAAATCTTGGATACAACGCTGTAGAAAAACGAAGCCATTTGGCACTTTCTTTCAAAATTACACGATGAATAAGAATCGAAATCCAAGTCTCTCTTTGCCTGTTTTCTCAGCGATAAAGCCGCCTGAAGAGAACGATCATACCCGACCCGCTAAAGTCCACTTTATTGGATTTGGGCCCATATCGTCCAAAACTGGAGGCCCATGGCTCACCACACTCTAGCCCAAAAGTAAGAAGCAAAATGGATTATCCCGTTATAAGGGCATTGGGCTGGCCCAGAAATTACAAATATGGATTTTAGTAATTAAATACAAGATACAAAATTGTTTTCGGGTTATAATCGGATTAAAAGCTCATGTCAGTTATTTATTGGAAGGGCGTTGTGTTGTGTTGTGTGTATCACATGATGTGAACAATCAAACAAAACAATTTTGGCATGATGCTTCTAGTCACATTCATATAAAATGATTGAAATTTAGAAAGGGATTGAAGATATTTATTTCGATTTTGTAACCCCACCTCTTAGAAATGTTGAGTGCATGAATGTAACTACCACACAACAAAATTTGGAAGGGAAGTTAATTGAAAAAGCTTCATGGATGCTCATGCACCTCATACCCAACTGAACTCTCCCTTCAAAGTAAATTGCGTCGGGAAATGGCCACTTAATTACCCTCCCAACCATTTTCTTGGGTTTTGGACCTTAGAAATTTAAGGCTCAGTTCTAATTTATTAACTTCAATTTGAGTACAGTGTTTTATAAATGAGAATGAGAAGTTATTGGACCCCTGAAATAATCTGAACTGCAACGTCAGACCCAATTTATAAAATTTAATAAGCCACGGCAGCATGGCGATTGCCGCCAACAGAAAGTCAAGAAAGTAAAAAGTCAAATCAGATAGATTTTGACTATCGATCTATTTTTGACGAGTGAGCTACTAAACGGTGCGTACAGGCGGTGGCAGCAGATGATATTGGTTATCTAACTCCAAAAAGTAAAACAACAAAAGCCGGCGTTTGGGGAATCCAGAGGTTTTCCTGCTTCCAACTTCCACCCATGGTTTCTCTTTGTCTTTCTTGTGCCGTAAAAGCAAAACCCCAGTGTGAAATTAATTCTCTCCTCTCTCTTTTCCCAGTTACAGCCCTACACACTACTTAAATGAACCCATTTAATACGACTACTACTGTACTAACGATAAATTACTCGGTATTTTTTACTTTGTTTTTATCTTATTTTTAATAGACAGATTCGTATTAATACATTACTAACTCGCCAATTTGATTCTTTTTAGTTAATTTTAGGAGAGGAAAGAAAATAGAGAAAATACATGAAATGACTGCTGTAATAAAGTACAAGCTGACCAGACACGATCTTCCTAGAAATCATGAACCCCTTTTGCCTCATCTTTTCTAGCCACTAATTGTTGCTTGATTACTTACCTCTTGTTTTAGTTATTAATTTTAGTGGAGGAGAAAAAAATAAAGAATAACGTTTTCATAAATTAATCTCGTATCATAGAAAAATTAAAACAATATAACCTAAATTATATCTAATTCAAATAACATAATCTAATAATCTAATCTACTATTCCCTCTCAAATTAATAATACAATTTTTTTAAGTATTTTAAATCAATATTAGAATTCACAACTCTTTGGTTGGAAATAAGTTTTTCAACACGTTGTAATTATTTTATAAGTTAACATAATCATAATGACTAAATTAAATCTTTTAAATCCATAAAAACTAAATAAAAAAATTCAAAACTAGTATGGGCTAAATTGAAACTATGTTGTCAATCCATCAACGGTGATTAGTATTATTCTTATTTTTTTTGTCAATTCCTCGTGTCCCAATTTGTTGTACTAATAAAAATTGGTACTAAGAAAAATTGGAACTCTCTCTAGATTAACTTAACCAAATATTTAATGAACAAATAGATATTGACATTATGTTATTATTTTAAAAAATGTTTGTCGACTGGGGATTTTAGTTAGTTGAATCAATTCGTTATTTTTCCATTTTTTTTTCTCCGTGAAACAGACAGAGGTGGTCACCTACAATCCAACCGACTCATTGCAATTTGAAAAAATTGCATGCCAACGGTACTTGCAAATGAGGGAATGGGAAATGAAAATGAAACCCAAAAAACTAAAATAAAAAGAGAGAGAAAATGATGAGCATTCAATTAATGCAGCCGGTGCGTGGCTAACCAAATGCACCAGTCAACTTTCTACACACAAATAAATTACAAAACACAAACTTTAATCCCCTCCCTATAAATACCCTCCATAACTCTTCATCTTCTACTCCAAATCAGCCCCCTTTTTTGTTCTCTCAGTAAAATGGACGCCAAATCCAGAACAAGAGTCACGGTTCTGTACCATGTCTTGGCCAACTCATGTTATCGAGCCGCCAGAAAAATGTTCTTCCTTTTGAGGTCAAACAACAATAACCCTTCTCTCAAAACACCCCTCCCCCAATTCCCTCTCTACCCCCACATCTCTAAATGCACCCTCCAAAACAGACACTCCCAAACGCTCGTCTGTGACTTAAACGGTGCGCTTTTGAGCCACAATTCCTTCTTCCCGTATTTCATGCTGGTCGCCTTCGAAGCCGGCAGCCTTCTCCGAGCCATTCTCTTGCTTCTCTCGTGGCCCATTCTGTGCCTTCTCGATTGGGACACCAAATTGAGGGCCACCATTTTCATCTCCTTCTGTGGGCTCCCAATTAAGGACATGGCCAACGTGGCCTTGACGGTTCTCCCCAAGTTTTATCTCGACCATCTTAACTTTCATGCGTTTGAGATCTTTCAGGCCACTGGCTCCAAGGTGGTGTTCACGAGTATGCCTAGAGTTATGGTGGAGGGGTTTTTGATAAATTATTTGAATGTTGATGATGTTATAGGGACTGAGTTGCAAACCTCTGGTTCTGGCCGATACTTTACTGGCTTGGTGGCCCGGAATGGCCTGCTTGTGAAGCACACGGCTTTGAAGGATTATTTTGGAGAACAAATGCCTGATGTTGGTATTGGAGCTCCAAATCTCCATGACCATCTTTTCATCTCTCTTTGCAAGGTATACAATACAGAAAAAGCTACTCTTTTTCTCTAATAAATAGTTTCCAAATGTTGCTAACCTGAAATTAAAGAATTATCCTTAGTACTAACTACTACAGTGGTATATTATACTCTTTTTTCATTTTATTTAAGTTTGTTTGTTGGTCTCTAGTGACTTTTTGATATATGGACAATATTTTCTTTGTTGACTAGACAATAAAACCATCACTGTTCGACAAGTTTTTAGTTTTTTGGAAAAAAAAATCTTTCTCTCTACATATTGGATTGATCTAGATAATAGGTTTGAAATAGTAAACATCCAATCTAATAACTTCTCCTATTTATTGGCACCGCAATCTTTTGCTTTCTCGAGGTTAACTACTTTCCTAGAGTGTATTCTACAAGTTCAAATAATGTTGACCTACTCGTTAAAGAACATTTAATTTTGAAGGGCACCCACATGGGCAAAAAGGTTCAATTAATGATTATAGACTGCAAAAGTTTTGAACTTTACGACCAAAAACTGAATTGGGAAAAAAAAACTACATTTTGGCGCAGGAAGCTTATGTAGTGAACAAGGAGGACAACAAAAGGGCAGCAAGAGAGAAATGCCCAAAGCCAAAGCCAGTCATATTCCACGATGGAAGATTGGCGTTCTTGCCAACCCCTTGTGCAACTCTGTTCATGATCCTGTGGCTTCCTCTGGGGATTGCTTTGGCCATTTTCAGAATCAGCATCGGCGTTTTCCTCCCTTACAAATTGGCCATGCTATTGGGCTCATGGAGTGGGCTACGCATAAATCTCAAAGGCTACATCAAGCCGATCCCAAGCTCGGAGGGTAAAAAGGGAGTTTTATATGTGTGCAGCCACCGGACACTGTTGGACCCTGTTTTCCTGAGCACCTCAATGGGGAAGCCATTAACCGCAGTCACTTACAGCCTCAGCAAATTCTCGGAAGTCATAGCTCCAATCAAGACCGTTAGATTGACGAGGGACAGAGGCAGAGATGGGGAATTGATGCAGAAATTGCTCGGAGAAGGGGACCTGGTGGTCTGCCCTGAAGGGACGACATGTAGGGAGCCTTACTTGCTGAGATTCAGCCCGCTGTTTGCGGAGCTGACGGATGAGATCGTGCCGGTTGCTGTGAGTACGAGGGTGAGTATGTTTTATGGGACGACAGCGAGTGGGCTCAAATGGTTGGATCCGATATTCTTTTTGATGAATCCGAGGCCGAGTTACGACATGGTGGTTCTTCCCAAGCTGCCGCGGGAGCTGACCTGCGCCGGAGGGAAGTCCAGTTACGAAGTTGCTAATTACATTCAGAGACAGCTGGCGGATGTGTTGGGATTTGAATGTACCAAACTTACCAGAAAGGACAAGTACTTGATGTTGGCTGGGAATGAAGGGTTTGTCCAAGAAAAAGGCCCTTGAAATTTTATTACTTTATAACTTTAAAATTACATAACAACATATTTCATATTTACCCATTTGATTTTTCTTTTCTTTTCTTTTCTTTTTTGTGGGTTTTTGGTACAAATGAATCGACATGGAATTTCTTTGGGGTGGATTTGCTTTTGTGCCGTATAATAAGTTCATGAATTTTTCTTGCGGAAATATACACTGGTGTAGGATTTTGTGATGTGTAAATTTTGCGTTTATATTTAATTTTCTACTTGATGTAGTTTTGCTCCAGTTTGCCCTTCATAAGTGTACTTCATCATCCAAATTAAATTCAAATGTGAATATAATGTAAAACATAGTAAAGAAAAATTATTCTTATGGTATGTTTAAAATATTGAAAAAGTTGTGACATTTTTTAAAATGTGTATTAAATATAAGCTGAAGTTTTGAATTTCTAAATTTTAGAGGTTACAATGAAAAGTGGAGGTATAAAATTATATGAAATTTAAATCTAAAATTCTGAAAGAACTTCATCAATTAAATTTAGTGAATGTCAGTGATTGTATTAATTGAATCAAATTTAAGTGTGCATTTAAAAAGTAAAATTAAATTTTGGTTATGATATGACCTTTTAGAAAATGTAAAAAATGTACTAATCAAATACATGAAAAATCGAATTAATTGGATTTAATTGATTACAACACCAAACCACTGAAGTGGGGAAGAGTGAGCTTTTATGTGGCACAGTAACAGTTAGTGAGACGTGTCAAATATTTCTGCGTTTGCAATAAATTTTGGGGTCCTTTTTACATCCTTTAATTACTAAGACTGGTCTCTCTCTCTCTACCCCATCTCATCCTCATCCATTGTTCAATGCTCGTCAAAACCATTCTTTTTCTTTCAATTCTTCCCACTCAAGTGTTATTATTATTTGTTTTTCATTAATAAACCATCTAAGTCACAAAATGTTAGGATTATATTAGTGTGACGCGGAGTAAAAGACACCTTACAAGTTTGTAGCCACAACTAGGTTTACACATAAGCGAAGAAGGAAGTGATGTGCGACAATATCTAGGAGTCGATGATTGTAGAGCTTTGACGGTACTTATTTTTTTGGGTTTTGCGAATGTTTTTATTTCTTAATTATGTCGAGATGTGAAACCTATTAAAGTATTTAGAAATGTCAATATATTGAATTTTAATATTTTAGGTGGCTGGCTAGCTTTTTTTTTTCTTTTAAGGAAAAATTAATAATAAATGATATCATAAATGTGTTGGAGATCGATAAACTATATAAATTTATTATTACTTATGTATTAACGAAATGGTTGATGTGGATTATGATGTTTGTTCTATATTAAAAATTTTCTCACGTCGGATCTTAATACTTGATTTGATCTAATTTGTTGGAAATATGACTATAGTCTCACATTAACTAGATAAGAAGAAGATTCGTGGTATATAAATAAGTATACCAACGATATCTCTTTATTAATATAAGATATTTTGGGTGATTCAAAAAATAAAGTCATGAAGACTTGTACCCGAAGTAAACACTCTTGTGAAGGGTCTCATATACAAAAGGGTTTCCTCTGTTGGGCTTATTTATCAACTTCAGCCTTATTGTGCCCAGTATTTTTGGGCTAGCCTAGCAGTAAACTTGGTGACAGGTAAATTTTTTTTCCCTCTTATTTCACCTATACAACAAGTGACAAAGTCCCAACGTTGGGGCTTCAATTTTCCAAGCGTTCAGGTTAAGGATAGTGGTACTCCGAATATCTAAATCTATAATAGTATGATATTATCTGTTTTGGGCATAGTCCTTACGGTTTTATTTTTGAATTCATCCAAAAAATTTATACCAATTGACATAAATTGTCCTCCTTTATATACTATGATCCATTCATTTTCCTACACAACATGAGACTTTGTTTGTATTCCCTTACAAATCCAACAATCTAGGAGAAGATATTTGGATAATGAGTACATTGCAGAATTTCCTTGGAGAATTTTTGTCACTATTTGTATTTATTCCACTAAGGTGAATGAGTTTTTAGTGAATTGGTTTTAGAGAAATTTTACTCGTCATTCTTCCAGGAAATCTAACTTTGTATTATTACGTTGTCGTTGAATAGGAATGAAATTGATGAATCGTCACATTAAATAGCTTTTTTAATATATATTTAAAAAAAAGTTTGAATAGAAACATGTTCCGCCCCGTTTAAGCCTCCATCCCTAAATCATTCAATCAGGCTTCAGTCGCGGCCATTGCTGATTCTTCATAAGAAAGAGCTTGCCGACATTGACATCCAGATGTGAACATTTCTTACTTAAGAATAGAAAAGCCACAGTGTTCACAAATTCTTTCGCTGCCTTCCAATTTTTGCTTTCCCACTCATAAATTACATCTATTTAATTTATAAATTTTCAATTCGTTTCTAAAGTTAAAAACTTTTTTTTATCCTTTGATAGGGAGATTAAAACATTTATACATGATATCCAGTAAATAAATTTTGACTAAATTAAATATAATTCAATTATAGTTATGAACTTTTAATTGTATTTATAAATAGAAATGATGTTTAATAAGGGACTAAATCTATAATTTAACTTATCTAAAATTGCAACAATTAAGATAGAGATTGGAGGTTTAATTTTCAATCACACATTTGTTGCAGTAAAAAAAAATCATCTACAAGTACGTGTACGATATATCTAAAAGATTAAATTTAAAAATGAAGAAAATATGACTTAATATAATGCATATAGATATTACATTAGTTTGTTAAATAGAAAGTATGAGATTATAATTCAAAGAAAGAGAATCATAATTTGATTTAACTAGTTTTTTTTTTATTAATTTATAATTATAGTCTTATCTTTCTGCAATTAAAAAAAAGTTTTCTTTAGAAAAAAAAGTCAAAAGTTATTTTTTTATGCCAACCTAAACATAATTATACTAAGGCATTCATCTCCAACTAAAAATCGTGAATTTGAATCATTACTCCAGATGCTGTATTAGAAAAAATATTGTTTTGATCTATTTCCATCCTAGAGTGTAGTTATCTTTTAGTTATATATATATAGTAAAGTTATTTTAGGGTTTTACTCAATCTCAAGCTTCCCTATCCATTCTCTTCCTCATTTTTGTCCTCTCTCCCCCGTCAATGTCGAACACAATGCCAAGCTACCTCGTTGTCACAGACTCTTTATGATCGTTACCCAATGCAACCCAATCCCCCAACCCACTGGCGCTTGATTCCTTTTACAATTGTAAGGTGTGCGCGCGCGCCCATGTGTTGTTCGAAATCAACTATATATATATATATATGTTGTCGAAAACCAACCAACCGACTGTTCAGTTGGTTTATGGAAAGGGTTCGAAAACAGTCTATTGATTCTCACACTGAGTTTCGGTTGGTGACGATTAGGGCCTGAAAACGACTTGCCAACTGATGTATAACTCTAATGTCTACCGTATTGGATATTAAAAAAAAAATTAAAGAAAAAACAAAATTTAATAAATGTTTTCTATAAATTAAATATTACATATTCTCTATTATTTCATATTTTTAAATATTATCTTAATTTATGAAAATATATATAGTTTAAAATTTAAATTTACACGTATAATAAAACAAAAACATGTATACTTATTTTAAAAAATCAATAAAATAAATAAATATATTTTTTTGGAAGCGTCGCTAATGAATGATAGGCTATGGTGGGCCGACAGTTATTTGTCGACATATAATTATCTTACATACAGTTGACATTGAGATTTGGCCAAAAAATTATTCCCTTTTGGCAGCATCTTAAAAGGTGAATAGTAAATTTGATCGTAAAATTGATCTAAAAAAAATATTTTTTTTATTAATTTTTCAGGAAAATCCAAATGAATAAATACGAGATTTAGCAACAACTATTCAGCACCAAGTTCCAACCAACCACGAAACATTTTTTCTGTAGCATCACGAGTATTTAAAACGTCAAGTTGTACAATTCAGAGCTTCAAAAAAGAAATAAAAAATCGTTTATAAACAATAAACAAAATTGTAAAAAAAAAAATGCCGAAGAAAATCAGAGAATTTCTAAGACAAACCCATCCTACGTGGCAATTCAATTATTTTTTCCCCAATTGTGGGGACTGCCTTCGCTGTGGACGTCCCCCATTGCCCTATACGCTGATTCCGGAATAATTGAACGAACCACATGGACGCTGAACTGGCATCCCCAGAGCATCCTGGACTGTCCGATCCTGCCATCTGGACTTCAAGCCTTGATTCAACCGTTGGATGAATCCGTTCCGCTGGTTTTCATGATAGCCGAGAAAAAGTGCGACCTCCATAGGATTCTTATCCTTCCACCACATGGGATCACATGCCGTCGACGTGGATATGACCCCGCCGGAATATTTATCATCGACAAATCCGGCAGCCGCGGCTATGTGCTCGACCATCCCGGCGAGAAGCGACGGAGGCGCGTGGGAATCTCCGTCCCAGAGCCAGACCCGCGACATCCCCCGGAGAACCGCAGCTGACATGGCGTGGTTCACGTTAGTCTCGTGGAAAATGGAAGGGCTTAGATCGATAAAGAAGTCAACTCCGTCGTCCGACTTGTGGACGGCGACATTGGGGGACAGATCACGAGGAGCGAGCGTGAGACGCACGCGCTTGACTTCCTTCTTGGGGAAGGCGGCCTGGGAAGGGTAGATCAGATTCTCGACGAAGTTGCTGGCGTTGAGGAGCACGCGCGTGGCCTCGTCGTTGGAAACGTAGAAGAGATCGAAGCGTTGACCGGCGGGGGAGGATTTGGCGGCGTTGACGACGGTGATTTCGAAGCCTTTGGAGGCTTCGTGATTGGCCCAGAGGGAAGTGAGGCCGATGAAGGCGATCAGAAGAAGCCGGACGGCGATGCCATGGTTTGAGAAGAAGAAGGACGATTCGTTCGGAGGAGTGGGTCCGGAGCCGGCGCCGGTGACGGGAAGGAGCGGGAGAGAGAGAGATCGGCGGTCTTCCATGGTTGAAGAAGGGTGGATGGGGCAATTAAGATAATTATAGGATCGGAAAAAATGGACGGATATGCACAGGCCTACCCTTAACTTTCTTCTTTAATTCAAATAAGTAACATATGTGAGTATATTTGGTGCCATTTCTTTTTCACCTTTTTCTTTTTATTCATTTTTCAAAAAATCATTTTATCACATATTCCATTTTAATTTAAAGCTTCTCCTAAAAAAACAAAAATTCACCGTACTCTCTTTGAACGTTTTTTTCCTATGAACTTTGAAATGGTTTATTTTAGTTCCCAGTTCAAATATAAGTATTAGATAAAATATTTATTACCATTCTCGCACTTAAAAAGCATTACCCTTTCTTCAAGGAAATATAATTTTAATTCACCTTACTTCACATGTTATGTTTGTAATGTTATATATGTATATATAAGTTATACTATGATTGAATATATGCCCACATGCTCAAATCTAGATTGTTTAAGATAAATTCTAATCACACTCAGTTGCAGAGAGAACCTACAAAATAAGGTAAGCACTCCGAAGCTTAATTTAGCTTCAATCCGAACTATAATGTCTTGGTCTCGAGACGAGCAATATATCTTCACGTATGCATAGATGGAGCGAAACCTTAGTATTTATTAGTATTCAAGAACGGGTCCCAACTTAACCAACCACTTAACATGTTGCGTGAATCACATCATCAATTCAATGTAATGGCTAGTGAGAAGTTAACGAGCAGTTAAGACAGTTCTCCTGAGGTCAAAGCTAATGCTCCAGTTGATCGAAAAATAACATAATTGGTAGATCGGTTGTTCGAACTTCATGACATGAAATAGTTCGTATCTACTTCATTTCACCTTTGTGCCACCCGACATGTTCATTCAACGCCACACAACATACATAATAATCCATTTGTTAAGATAAAATAACAGTAAAAGCTAAAATGATTTTTTAGATTAAAAACTAATGTAAATCTTTTAAAAGTGAAAAAAATTAAAATGGAATAAAGTGAAATTTAGGGATTAAAATTGTTATTTTAAAAAATTTGTGGATGGAAATGAAATATGTTGAGAATTTGAGAGTTGATAGGATTCAATCCATTTTTAATTTCGCCACCAAACTTTAAACCATCATAGAATTTGATAAATAGGTGGAATTTCCATTTTTTTGCTAAAATATGGTGGATATTATCTTAAAAATGAAATGCAAGAATAGATATTGATATTGACAATGGATGATTTTTACTTGTCATGAAATCAAAGTTGTGACCTTTGCGCACAA